ATAGCTCTGTCGACAGAGGAAGGTTCGTGACATATGCTACCAACTTCTGCAGCCGCTTTATTAAGTGGAATAAATAAAATCCATGCAAAACGGCACAAACTTCACCAGAGACAGGCTACTGGGATTCTCCCAATCTCAACACTTCCAATTTGTTTCACTGAAACGTGTCTGCCGGACTCGAAACGTGCTCCACATGAGAACTACCCGATTAAGCTGAAGGAGCGAAATGCAGCAGCTCAGAAGGAGCTCCCTCCTGCCCCCTGCTCCCCATTAGTGAACAGACAGGTCCCCCGGAGCAGCTCCCTCCCTGCACCTGCCTGAGGGCACCTGCCAACCTGGTTCAGAGGCCCCCCACCGTCACGGTGCCTTCACACAAGCATCAGCATGCTGGGGGGTCCCAGCAAGAGTGGGGCTAGAATAGGCGTCCGGTAACTACAGCCGGCACCCAAATCCAGGCCCCCCCCCTGTTTTGTCAATAAAGTTTTATTGCCACACGGCAATGCCCACCATTCACAGATGGCCCAAAGCTGCTTTCCAGCGGCCACAAGCACAGAGCTGAGCATGTGGCCGCACAGCCCACAGAATGTACTGTCTGGCCCTTTATGGGCAAGGCCCACCTGCCAACCCAAGTGAGAAGACACAGGGGTTCGTGGTGAGGGACGAGGTGGGGGGGAGAGGGAAGCCATGGCAGAGGAGGAGGAGGGAAGGAGAAGATATACAGAGCAGACATGAAGGCAGAACACAAAACAAGGAAGGAAACGAAAGGAAGCAGCACCGGATTGGGGGGTAGGGGGGAGGCAGAGAGACATGTACACCCCACACCCGTTAGGCATATCCTGAGTTCCAGCCTGGTAATGTTCTCTCCCTCTGTCCCCCTGGACCCTGCCTTCTAGACAAGCAATCCATGAGGCAGGCGGGGGAGCTGCGGAGAATTAATCCGCCTCTGTAATCAGAGCCCGAGGGCTGTGGGGGTGTTCTCCCTGCATGCACTTCATGGCTCCCCACGGCTCCTTAAGGCAGTTGAACCAAACAGGCAACTCTGGGGGCTCGCCAGGGAGCGGAGCACAGCTGCTCGTCCAGGGCCTGCGTGCGCCCCCCGAGCAGTGGGTGCATCCGTGCAGTGACAGAGGTCTTGTCTGGGAGACACTAAGGAACCTTAATAACCAGGTTCTACAAACGGACATAACTTTGTACTGTGGGTCAGTATGTGATACTCAATGAATAAACTTCTGGCAGGCCCTTCGGAGCAGCGTTTAAAGCTCTCCGAGTTCCTAATACATAGAACGTTACTATTTAACGAGCAAGAAGAGGGATAGAACGTTACTATTTAACGAGCAAGAAGAGGGAAACCCGCCCCGAGTCCTAGAGAGCAGTGCCCCGCGGCCTGCAGGGGGGCCGCTGTGACCTGGAGGGTCCAAGCTGGGGTGCCTGCACCTGCTGCCTGGACCAGCAAGCTGCTCCTGCCCAAGCTGGATGAATGGGTCTGCTCACTGAGCTACAGGTCTCTCCTAGGACTGCCTGCCCACCGCGGGTCAGGAAGCAGGCCAGCAGAGCCGAGGCCACAGCGCCTGGCCTGGCAGGCCTGAGCAGCAGTTGACGAGGACCCAGGGCCCAGGGACCTCAGGGCCTCAGCACGGAGGGGCTCGGGGCTCCTGTCTGGAGTGCAGCCCCACAGCTGAGAGAAGGGGTAAAATGGGCTTCAGAGCTGCCCTGCAGTAGATGGTCTGGACCCCTAGAGGCCCGTCCCCCAGAAAGGGCAAGCTGGAGATGGGAGGACGGAAAGTAGGGCTGGGTCCCCCAGGCTGCCACAAAATCAGGGGCTCCGTGAGCCTGTGTGAACAGAGCGAAGCCACCCGCACCCTCACATGCCTGCCCACCCTCTGTCACCAACAGGGACACCTGCGTCTGGAGGATTCTCAGCTCTGCCAGGCCCACGTCTGGGTTTTGGTGTCCATGAGGCTCCCGGACCTGAGAGACCCCAACTCACAGCCCACAGCCACCACTTGGGCCCAGCAGGACGGCACCACATTCCTTCTCTCCTGGCCCCACCAGCTCCCAAGGAACCTGTGCATCAAAACCCCTGTTTGCTGACTCGTGGCGGGGGAGGGGAGGTAGGGGGAGGGCTGCGTCTCCAGCCTGAGCCCCTGTGCCCCCGCCGCCGGCCCCCTCACCTGAACCAAGCATGCCGCAATGCCTCCGGGTGCTCTCCTCCCCCTGTTCTGCAGAGAGCGTCAGCATAGTGGCCGGGGTGGCGGGGCAGGACACCCACCCGTCGGGACACTGAGGCCCATCGCAGAAGGCGACCGCGGGAGGGGCAGAGCTGTCCAGCGCCTACTGCCACAGAGCCCCGCACCTCTCACCACTGGTGTCACTGGGGGCGCTGATCTTGGTGTTGCTGCTCTGGGCACAGCGGACACGGCCACCTTCACGTCCACCTCATCTGCGAGCTCGCCCCAACTCTTTCCTGAACCCAAGACCCACCTGTGACCCCCTCTGAATCCCTTCCTTCTCATTGCGACAGGCTTACTTCCTAAAGCCGGGGCCCCCTTCTCCCTGCCTCGGACCTCCTCCTGGATGGCAAGCGGCTCCCGGGGCGCTTGCAGGCATCGGCCTCCCACAGGGGAACGGGTGGTCCCGGTGCCGCAGGAGGGCCTACGTGGTGCGGGCAAGACAAGGTCTTGACAGAAAGTGGGCCCTTCCCTTTAAGGGCTGCACACTCTCCAAGATGCTGATGGAGCCACCCCAGGGCCCCCGTGAGAATGGCCACCCGTGGGGCAGCCTGATGGCTTCGCGGGGCACACGGAGGGAGCCTCTCTGCACCCCTGACGGGACTGTGGCTGTACCACAGGGGAGCAAGGGGAGTACTTCGTGCATGCCCACCTTTTCTACCTCTACACCATCCTTCCGTCTAAAACGCTGTCACCCTCCACACATTCCAGAAGGAGGCCATTTGCTATGTGCGTGCTTCCCGGAGCACTTCTGTGACCTCATCGAGTTAGGGCTGCCCCTGCTCAGGCTGCCAGAGAACCGGCCAGACTAGATCAGACGGCACGGGACAGCAGCAGCGATGCAGCCTCTCTGCGAGGACGGACGTCCCCGGAAGCGGACGAGGCAGGGCTCCCCACAGGTCCCCTCACCCTGCACGCCACGTCCTAATCCCACGGACAACCCTGAGAGCGGAGGTGCCTCGGCTCTAGCAGCAGCTGGCACGGAACTGAGCGTGGCAGGCACGTGGTCCCCTGGTAGAAGGAGCTCTGTGGACCTCGCACGTGGCAGGCCCCGCCTTGCTGCCCCACCCAGGACCCCTCGTCTTCACCGCACCCTGCACCGCCCCCATGGCATGTGCCAGATGGCCACCTCTCTGCCTCCCAGGGAGGACAACCTCCTCCCGCACAGATTCCGAGAGAGGGCTGCAGGGAGGCCAGGGGGGGTCTCAGCAACGAGAGACAGAACAGAGGCTGAGGAGACCCCTCCTGTCCCCACCCGAGGCCTGGACACAGGAGCAGGACCCGTGGCTTCGTCTGCTGCCCCCTGGTGGGGGCCGGGAGGCGCACAGCTCTTGACAGGGGTGGACGCAGGCCTCTGAGCGGGACTGGACAGGGTCCAGGTCTGACCACCCCCAGGGTGCACTGACCCAACCACTGCCTCTCCCCACCAAAGGCTGTGGGGGGGGGGGGGGCTGCTGATCGCTAACACCTGCTTCAGTAAGCTTCATTTCATCGGCTTGCTGATGTTCCAGAAAGGCCAGGGGACAGTGACCGGTGGACCTGACCCAGGAACGCCTGGCTTCCAGTCTCCCCATGCTTGCTCCTCCCTTGCAGGCAGCAGCTTGGGCCCGGGTGGGCTCTCGTGGAGGCTAACAGAGCCCATTGTGGGTGACAAGGCGTGGAGGGCATGCACGGAAGGACCGGACGGCCAGAGTACTTTGCAGGGAGGACCAGGACCTCTGCTGCAGCAATCAGGATGGCGAGCAGAGCCAGTGCCCAGGGCTCCGACGCTGGGTCTCAAGGTTAGCACTCAGCCTCAAAGACAGGGGGTCCCAGGAAGCAGGGGCTATGCACTGAGGAGTCTCTCTCCCAGTACAGATCTGGGTCAGTCTGGCCTGGGAGTAGGGCAGGAGACTAGCAAGGGGCTGGCCTGCTTCTGGAGGGGCCCATCCGTGCCCACATCCAGGAGGAAAAGGACAGTGACCAGGACAGAGAGGAACAGATGGTCGTGTGGGTGACGCTGGCTGAGCCTGGGCATCCTCCACCGTTTGGACTCGCGCAGGACTCCAGGGTGGTGGACGGGAAGGCGGGCTGATGCCCCACTACACTGCTGAGCACAGAAAGGGGGTGCAGGGGGTTAGGGACTTTCTCTGCTGGAACTGGGTCGGTCCTGAACAAGCAGGCAGGACTCCAAGAGAGGAAGACAGGAGGCGACTGGGAGCCCGTGGCAGAGAGCTGAGACAAAGCTGGTGCCTGTGTGTCCGCCCAAAGCCTCTGCAGTTCGTGTTGCCTAAAAGCCGTCGGGGGAGGGGTGAGCCCGTGCTGGGGGCCAGATGTGCAGGCCCCGTGAAGTAAGACGTGGTGACCCCGCCCCTCATCACCCCGACGTACAAAACCCAAACAGATGGCACCGGGGGTGCTAGGTCTGTCAGCCTTGTCATTAACTGATGAGGGCACACAGGGTGCACACAGAGGAGGAATCGCTCAATGTAAAAAATCCCAGGGACGACTGAGGGTCTTAGGGAAGCTGCCCCGCAAATCTCTCTTCATTAATGTTTCATGTGGAGCCCAATGTATCATAATAAAACGGCTATTAATGCACTTATATTTACGATGACGCGCTCGGTGCAGCCGGAGCTAACCTTCCCCATCAGACTGAAAGTCTGCCTTGGACGACAGAACCAGCAGCAGCCCCTTGGCGGGTCCTCCTCTCCCGGGCCACCAGGTCAGAGCATGGAGCCAGCACACGGAAGACAAGCGGATGGCTGGCCCTGTGCCCGCCCGCACACTCACCTCCATCTCTGAGCTGTGCGCGTGCACCTTCTGGACCATGTCCTCGGCCTCACGCATGCGACGCGTCAGCTGGGGTGAGTACTCGGCCGCAGTAAGCTCGCTGTCGTAGGAACCCAGGATGGCGCGCATTCCGTCCCGCTCCTGTGGGCACAGAGGGCAGAAGGTCAGGCTGGGGTGGCCTCCCGGGGCTCCTCAAAGAGCTCAGTAGTGTTTGGATTCACAATGGCCTGAAAGAGCCCAGCCAGCCCACGGCAGGGTCCCAAGCTGCTCTGAATCAGCAGCCTGAGCACGACCAGGGTCTTGACTTCATACAGGCACTCCCCACAACCGCCTGGCCTTGAGCTGCAGGGTCTGTGGAGACCTGCGGTGGCCAGAAACCCCTCCCTGGAGCCTGCTGACTCCCCCATTCCGGCCAGTCCCAGACTCTACCAAACTCCAGGAATGGTCCCAGGAACACACCGACAGGGCCAGGCCAAAAAGGAGGTTTGAATACCCTGCCTCCCGCGACTTCTGACCTGCCCTCTAAGCCACACAGCAGTCTGGAGAGATTCATCCAAGCAGCAGGCGTCTGGGTGGAAGAACCGAAGCGAGCCTTCCATCCGCCCAGACTCTGAAATGCCCCAGACTCCCTGCTGAACAAACAGCTCTGGCCTCGGAGAGCTCCATCTCCCCGCAGAGCTCATGGGATGCCTGGGGCCACAACCCCAGGCTACAGATGCATCACTGTGCACCAGCCATGCAAAGGCACACCCACGTTTCGTGGGAGGATGTACCAATCACACAGTGACAGGACTAAGCCACAGAGAAGTCACTGCTCAGGGGTGCCCTGCTAGAAACACATAATGAGGCTGAGTGTGAGCCAGAGTCAGGGGCCCCGGGAAAGGTGGACGGCTTCTCCTGCCCAGGACTGGAAGATCCCTTCTTTAGATGTTCGTGGAGGGAGACAACCTTCTGGAGGCCAACCAGGAAAGGCTGCAGGGACCCAAGGTCCCTGGGTCCAGCAACCAAGCGGCTCTAAAGGGCCTGCACAAAGGACACCCGTGCCAGGAAAGGAGTTGCTGTCTCCCCTGGAGGCTGCCCACCGCCCTTTCTCACTCCCTGTGGGCCTGGATTCTTCCTCAGCCTCAACAGACCCGCAGCCTGAGCTGGGGGCTGGCACGTGCCCTCCTGCCCCACATTTTGCCTACATGCCGTCACCAGGGAAGGCCGTATGGAGAAAATCAAGTCATTGTGCAGGGCACCCGGGTGCTCTGAGCATGCTCCTCACTCCCTCATGCACACAAACATCCTGGGGGGCTTGTGCAATGTCAGCTCAGTCTCAGCAGGTCCGGTGGGGCCTGAGAGGCTGGTTCACAAACAGATGCCCAGAGAGGTTGCTGCTGCTGGAGTGTGGGACACAGAGCTCCACGGCCTCTGCCTGGGGCAGGTTTGTCCCACCTGCGCCCCGGGCTAGCGGGGCACCTGAGGCCAGAACACTCACCCCCATCCTCAGTTCCTGGATTAGTGGGGTAATCTGCCGGTCTCAAAGGATGGATGTGAGGATTGACACCGTCACACATGCTGCCGCCCCGTAAGTGAGGCCCCGTGATCTCATCCATGTCGGCAAGCAGACCTCCTCGGGTTCACGGGCGCATCATGCACCAGCCCTGGCACTGCCTTCCCTCCCTCGCGGCCCCTGACCCTCCAGGGCTGGGCTTCCAGACACGCGACAGGGACAGTCCGTACCACCACGGGCTCAAAGGCACATTCACGGACCCAAAACAGCCCCCCATGTCACGTTCTCAGGTGGGGAGGCCGAGCTCAGAGCTCACAACCCGGTCATCACTCGGCGTGGACTCCACAATTAGCCGATGACAAGAAATTCAATAAGTGAGAAATTAAAGGTACAAATCCACTTGAACTGGTTGCACGTCTGTGGGAAATCTGTTTCCACAGGAAGGTTTATCGAGTGTCCTCATTTTATTGGAATCCTCTATCTTGGTATTGACTTTTACAGCTGGAGTTACTCTGAAGAGCGCCGCTGCCCCAAGGGGCGGGGTAGGGGGCTTCCCTTCCAGAACAAGCTGCAACTGTCGCCTCCACTGACCCATCTGTCCCCAGAGTGCGGCCTTTCCGCGCAGAGCTCTTCGATCACGTCCCCAGGAGAGCCGAGGCTGACGAGGAGGAGCGCGTGAACCAGCAAGTTTGCTGTTCGTACCTGTTCAAGAAATTGTTCTGTCATCACTAGTAAAAGTCCAAGAAATATGCCGGTTTGTTTGATAATGACTTTTTAATGAGTGATTCCACTTATGGGGAAGTTTGCTTCATTTCCACTTGAGCAAATGCCGGCGATTAATCCCTGAGCAAGCAGGCGTCCAGTGCAGGCCGCAGAAGCCTCAGAGATGCGCCCCGAGTACAAAGCAGTAGGCTGCTTCCCGCCGAGCCGCTCTCCTCGGCACGGAGCGGTACAGGCAGGTTCATCCACACAGACGTGAAGCGGGGGCTGTGGGCTGCCACCCAGGGAGCCACAGAGCCACAGCGGTGCCCGAGGCCCGCTCCACCTGCACCAGCCCCGGCTGTCTGTGAACCAGTGTGGGCCCTGACAACCTCATGTCTGGGATGACCTTCACCAGCCCTCCTGCCCCGGGCCTCGAGGAGCCCGACTACTGGGAATACCCCTCCGCCCTGTAGACGGAGTCTCCCGGCCGATGGCGAACAAACACGGGACAGACAGCTCATGACCCTGCCCACCTCCCTGACCGGCGCTGAGCTCTGCAGGCAGGTCAGTACCAGGGACAGGACGGGTCTTCTGGAAGCTCTGAAATATGCCCCATAACGGCCCAGAGCCCGGGGATGGCAGAGATGAGGGGTTCTGGACAAACCCGTGCTTCCTTCTGAAGCTGGGAAGGAATGACCATCCAGTCCAGCCCGTGCTCTCCCAGAAAGGAAGCTGAGGCACAGAGGTGCCTAGTTGTTCGTCCTAAGCCCCACAGGGAGGATGGGCGCTGGCCCAGTTCGGGGGGCCGGCAGGTGCTGGGAGCCCCAGCAGGGACAAGGCTGGACTCGGGGCACAGGTGGGCTCGTGCGACAGCCCTGCAAAGGCTGTGTGCTGGGGGGGGTAAGCAAACCAGGCAGCAGCTGCAGGCACGACAAAGCCTGGCTCACAGGGTCAGAGACTCTGTCTCCTCAGGTGTGGCCAAGCCACGGCAGGGACAGAGGCCAAAGGTGACGTCCCACTCTCACACCCGGAAAGATCACCCTGACTGGTGCCCAGATGAGCTGCACACCCCCGAGTTCCAAAAGAACAGGGCTGCCCTACTCCCCCACACAAAAGTACCCCGGCATGTGGTCCTAACAAATGGGGTCCCTCATGTGCCCCCCTCATGTAAACGGACCCCAAACAAACCCCCTGGGCTCCTCCTGAGTCCAGAGGGGGCGGCCAGCCCTGGAGCCTGGAGCAGGACCCTCCCTGGGGTGGAATGGAGTCAGCCCCTCATGCAAGGGAGAAGCAAAACACGCGGTGCCCGAACAGGGTGGAAGATCAGAGCAGAGAATCTGGACCAAAAAAGTCACTATGCACAGTGCGCAATCTTTAGAACAAAACAGACAGTGGTACACGTTCATACACACACACCAGCACTGAATTTGGGCCGACTGACTACACAGCAGCCCAAGACCGCAGGTGCACACAGGCATCTGGCAGGAACAAGCAGAGATCCCGGCGAGAACAGCAGAACCTCGCTCTAGGAGTCAAACAAGTTCCAGAGAGAAACTTCTGAGGACCAAAGATCTAAGGTCATAGTAAAAATCAATCAATCAATCAATCGATCACAGAATACAAATGAAAACAGACCTGCAAACACAAGAATTAGGAGAATGAAACCCATGGTATCAGGTAATAGAATAATCAGAAGTGGAATAGAAAGTATGCATGCTGTGTTTAAAACAGTGAAGAAAAGGGGGAGCCTGGGTGGCTCAGTCGTTAAGTGCCTGCCTTCGGCTCAGGTCATGATCCCAGGGTCCTGGGATCGAGCCCCACGTTGGGCTCCCTCCTCGGGGGGAAGCCTGCTTCTCCCTCTCCCACTCCCCCTGCTTGTGTGCCCTCTCTCGCTGTGTTTCTCTGTCAAATAAATAAATAAACAAAATTTATAAAAAAGTAAAAACCAGTGAAGAAAGGGATTTAAATTATCAGCGAGAAACAATACATCAAAGAAACAAGCAAATTTAAAACAAAACAACAACAAAAAAAGCAGACTAAATGAAGCCCAACAAGGTAAAAGTACAATTTAAAAGCTTAAGTAAGTAAAACAGCAAATCAGCTGTGGCTGAAGAGAGACTCGGTGCTCTGGAAGAGAAATCAAAGGAACAAGCCAGAAAGAACAACAAAGGACAAAGAGAAAATGGGAGCCGGCAGCTGATGGCCAAGGCAGAACAGGGGAGGGAAGGGTTTCTATCAAAATTAGGGAGAAAGAACAGAAAGAACAGGAAGGCAACAATCAAGGACGGACACAATGGTTGAGAAACTTCCAGAAGTGATTAAAAGCACCCACCTCAGAGGCAGGAGCCCACAGACCTTCCAGAGTGCATGCACACAGTCGCGGCCCCCGCAGGCTGGCCACAGGAAGGCGGTACACTGCCTGCGTCTGGGGCAACAGTGAGGCGGGGGAGGGGGGACCGTTCCCCAGCAACGACTTCCCCAGAGGATGACACACAGGATGTATTCCAGGACTAAGGCAAGGGATCAAAGAAGCAAAACTGAGAAACAGGAAAGGAAAACGGGCCACAGACTCGACCATGTCCCAACACAGGCAACCGTGACTGTGTGAGGTCACAAGATGCCTGACTCACGGGGCAGGACAGGGAGGATAAGTGCAGCTCCTGGCCCGCCAACAGGGAATGCGTGGCGACAGGCACCAGATACTTAAAACACCTACGAGACGCTCAAGGCCGCAGAGCAGGTGGGGAAGGAGACGCATGCAACGCACACTTGCGCGGGCACAGGGAAGGAGATGCAAGCACACCGGCATGGGGAAGGAGACGCACGCACACGCACACCTG